ATTAGCATGCTTCCAATCTGATGGTACGGTACCACACCCGCAGATAACGAGTTCTGGAATATTAAAGTTAAAGTTTGGCTAATAATATCCCTCATCTCTTTTAAAACTATAGGTAAGATGCCATCAGGGCCCTGCGATTTATTTATTTTGAGTTTAGCTAGGCTTAGTACCACATCAGCCTCAGTTATACATATATTGGTCATAGACGACGCTGTATTCGTACTAATTGGTGGTAAGTTACTTGTGTTCTCTACTGTGAACACCTGTGAAAAATAATCATTATACTCATTTACTATATCAATTTCATTTTCAATTATAAGGCCCTTACTATCCTGCAATTTAGTGATTTCAGCTTTTAGAGCTCTTTTGGAGTTAAAATATTGGAAGAAACTTTTATTGTTAACCTTAGCCTCCAATGCAATTTTTCTTTCTACATCCCTCTTGGACAGTCTAATGTTATTTTTTAACTCTACCTGTAGACTTAGATACTCCTGCTTAATTTTGAAATCATTAGTTATTTTCCAATTGTGGAACAGAGCCCTTTTCCTCCTGACGTTATTCTTAATTTCCTTAGTAAACTACCTTGGTTGTCGTTTCCTAGATTTAGTTTTGCTGGAAACAGGTATAAAGTCCTCTTGCACTTGCAACAATGTGCTTTTAAAAAATTCCCATGCCTCTTCAACTGTTTTGCAATTTAACTCCGTCCAGTTTACAGTTTCTAGTTTCCGTCTCATAGCATTAAAGTTAGCCTTCCTGACATTGTATACTTTTAATTTCGACTTTGCTCTTCTGAAACTAAAATTAACCATGAATTTATCCATGTTATGATCACTACCGTCCAATGGTTCTAAAACCTCTAATTTTCCAATCCTATCCTGGATAAGCTCCATGTCACGTGACCAGATAAGCAGTTACTGAAAATGTAGGGAGCAAAGTAAAGTAAGGTTTTTGCCCATTTTGGTGAATGGTGGTTGCCGGAAGTAAACGCTTTTTTATGGGGATGTACACCATTATTTGGTACAAATAAAGATGGATACACATGTTGTATTCATTTTGTTCATTTCAGAAAATGTATTGTAGGTGGGCTATCCCACCTCTGTGTGATGTCTCCTGTAAATTGACAGTAGCAGTGATGTGCAATCTCTACCCCGGGTCCACAACTTTTACAGTCATCTCTCCCTCTGGTCGATCCCCACCACTGACCACCTCCTTCAAATCAGTATACCTGGGATGTTTGGTATTGAATGAACAGATTGACTTTAATATTACCCAAGAAAAAAGCTAGTTTATATTTAAGAAATATTTTATCCAGTATAGCTGAAATACCAATTGGATATTACACCTCCGGAGAGAGCAGACCTTTTGTCAGCATATTTCTGTTATTTTTTAAAAATTATTAAATATTATGGAAAACTCACTCATTACCTACAAACCATGCCTTTTCCCTAGATAACCAGTTTTATTTAATACCACGTTTATACTCAGATCAATATCTACCATGTTGCTGCTGTATATAAAGGATGTATTTTGCTCAGAAAATAAGGAAACTACCGTCTGTAAATAAACTCTACAAAAGGAACAGGACAGTGTTATGAATAGATAATCCTAATCCCTGACTTTTGGTCCTTTTTGCTTGAAATAGGCCTAATTCTTTCCGTATACTTCTTTTATCAAAAACGCTATGATTTCCTTTTATTATGCATGAAGATGTACAGTAAGAACATGCTACAACACGCTACTACAAATAAATTCCACTTGTCAAGTCAGTCGCAGAAATCTGTCGTGCAGTCAGATATCTCAGATACGTGGTTGTGGTTGTATTGTTGATGTTGGCAGAACTGCAAATTAAGTCACCACAGCGTAAAATTAGACTGTACTACGTTAAAAAAAACATCCTTCTAACTTTGATCAAGTGTTTTAATTACTAGGCTATTGAATGGCATAATTAATTTCATAGTTGTAAAGGTCGTGGTGTAGTCTCTGCATTATACAAATAATCGATTAGCTAATGGTCATTTAATAATGTACTTAATGATGTCAGCCTTTAATAGGAATCAGTGGGCAGCGTGGTGGTGGTGGGGGGGGGGGGATTACAGTATCTCAACCTACTTATGGGTCGATCTGTAGAATTAGATGGGAAACAGGGAGGCGGGTCGCTAGCTTTGTGAGCTGCGATCCGCTGCGGGAGCGAAAAACAGCTGCACTCCGCTCATGATTTAGAAGCTTCGGGCAGGTCAGTCAGGCTTACAGCTGGAGTAAATAGCACTAAAATGGGACAGAAGAAAGCCGGTAATGAGATACAGCCAATTATTGTGTGTATTTGGGAGACTTATATGACCCTGTAGTAAAGTTCCTGTTTTGGAAGCCAAGTAGAGAAGTAAGTAGAGGTGATTTCCAAGGTAAAAGTCTATTAACCGGGTTAAACTAGAGCATTCTAAGATATTGCAGTCAGTGTCCTGACTTTTCCGAAACCTGGACAACACTGGCCGTTTGAAGAAGACTGTAGTTGATACTTTATTATTAGTTTACAGATCGATTCGAAAGTATGAATTGTATAATTGTTTTATATATCTCAACCCTGGATAACAGGTCCCGTTCAGCTTATTAACTCTCTATATTAAAAATAAGCACATAACAGAATTTTCTTTCAACAGTCATTAAAAATAATTGGGTAGAGTGAAAGCATGCCTGATCTCCAATAACAGACAGCAGGAGTTCGCTCTGCCCTTCTTTATCATGTTTTTTAATGAAATATCCCGTGATGTACGTGTGAATTCCTTGGTTGGTGGTGTGCGGATCTAGTCGACTCTGCAAGATTTTTAGTATTGCAAGCCTGTATATTAAAAGCATTCATAAATTATTGCCTTTTCTAATCTTTTCTGTAAATTAAATCTCCAGGGGCCTGTATCATGAAGCAAGATTTGTTGGTTATCTAGATAACTTGTAGGATTTAAGGAACCCCAGTTTAAATGGACTTTATATTCGTTCACTTACATATAGCCCTGACTACACTACCTTTGATCTGATACAGGCCCCAGGAGTTAATGAAAAACCAAAATTCAAGCTACGCAGTCAAATTTCCTTATATGTTGTAATTAGTTGATAGATCTCTTACAAAATATTGTGATAAGTCACATCACACCCTAATCTTTAATTAATAACCACCAAGACTCATCTCGTGCTTCATCTGTCACAAGCGGGTCATCGGCTGTCTTTCTTCCGCCATTGGAGTTTGGATGTACAAAAAGGAATTAAAACCTCACCACAGCTTTTGAAACATCAAAGTAGTATTTTTTGTTGAAAAAAGCCAGAGTGGTCAGTATCATATGTACACACTGTAGAGACCAAATATAATCTGATTTGTTTTAATAAGGATTAACCCCCCGCCTCAAAGGTATCTAATTACACCGTTTGGCGATCCATTACAAGTTAATGAAGTGTATCAAAGACTTTTTCAGTTTCATAACCTCTAATTAAAAACATCCTTTCCGGACTATATCCCTATTCAATGTTTTAGATGTTAAATACACCCAGTAAAGCACAGTAAGAGACTGTGAATGGATGAATGTACTTGTCCAAAATCAATACAAGCATGGAGTTTCCTGTATTTAGAAGTGACTGACTTTCCAGAACACTACATTAGGCAAGATGCAGCATGATTGATGTTAAACTGCCTTGACGTTTATGGTTTATGGGAGGATTAAAACATCTCTTTCATGAAATAAAAGCAAGCGACAGGAGAGGGATTAGTAAACACAGTTAAACCATGTCAATGGTCCCATCGCATGCTTGCCCCTCAGGGATGTGTCCTCCACGCCTCTCCGCATGCTCCCGGCCCATGGGTTGCTGGAGGTGAGGGTGCTGGCTGCCCGCTCGACCCCCGCCTTGAAGACCCTACCACCCCTGGAGAGCCTGGCCAATCTGCAGGAGGCCCAGCTCACATACCCCAGCCATTGCTGTGCCTTCCACACCTGGAAACGACATCACAGGTACCACAGGGGTGTCTGCGGAGTCCTGGCTGCCGCTCACATGACTTCCCGCTCTTCAATGCCTCTCAACCACTTTTTTTGTAGAGACAACGCTTTCCTGCGGGAGTTTGGGAAGCTGGCCATCCCGTTCAGCAGCGACAGCCTGCAGGGAGTCATGTAAGACTTCATCTTCCTCACAGAGTCACGTTTTCAAGCTTTAGGAGCAACATCCAGACCTCAGAGGAGCTCAGAAAGCTTCCCCGGGCAGCACGGCACAGAGCAACACTCTGCCCAGCCTTCACCCTGCCCAACACACGTCACCGGCAGTCAGCTGTTCATTATAAAATGTACCCAATGCATTAACAACATACTTAGTAACATTATTTATAAGCATTAATTCTTGCAATTGCTTGCCTGAGTGTACAGTCGTGGCCAAAAGTTTTCAGAATGACACAAGTATTGGTTTTCACAAAGTTTGCTGCTTCAGTGTTTGTGGATCCTTTCGTCAGATGTTTCTATGGTACACTGAAGTATAATTACAAGCATTTCATAAGTGTCAAAGGCTTTTATTGACAATTACATTACGTTTATGCAACGAGTCATTATTTGACTCCTACAGTTCGCCCTGGCGTGCTGTCAATCAACTTCAGGCCAAATTCTGACTGATGGCAGCCCATTCTTGCATAATCAGTGCTTGGAGTTTGTCAGAATTTGTGGGTTTTTGTTTGTCCACCCGCCTCTTGAAGATTGACCACAAATTCTCAATGGGATGAAGGTCTTGGGAGTTTCCTGGCCATGGACCCAAAATGTTGATGTTTTGTTCCCAGAGCCACTTAGTTATCATTTTTGCCTTATGGAACGGTGCTCTATCATGCTGGATAACCAATCACCAAACTGTTCTTAGATGATTGGGAGAAGTTGCTTTCAGAGGATGTTTTGGTACCATTCTTTATTCATGGCTGTGTTCTTAGGTAAAATTGTGAGTGATTCCACTCCCATGGCTGAGAAGCAACCCCACACATGAATGGTCTCAGGATGCTTTACTGTTGGCATGACACAGGACTCACCTTTTCTTCTCCAGACAATCTTTTTTCTGGATACCCCAAACAATTGGAAATGGGATTCATAAGAGAAAACGACTTTACCCCAGTTCTCAGCAATCCAATCCCTGTACCTTTTGCAGAATATCAGTCTGTCCCTGATGTTTTTCTTGGAGAGACATGGCTTCTTTGCTGCCCTTCTTGACACCAGACCATCCACCAAGAGTCTTCACCTCACTGTGCGTGCAGATGCACTCACACCTGCTTGCTGGCACTCCTGAGCAAGCTCTGCCCTGGTGCTGCCCTGATCCCACAGCTGAATCACCTTTAACGAGATGGTCCTGGCTTCCTGGACTTTCTTGGGAGCCCTGAAGCCTTCTTCACAACAACTGAACTTCCCTCCTTGAGGTTCTTGATGATGATAAATGGTTGATTTAGGTGCAATCTTACTAGCAGCAATATTCTTGCCTGTGAAGCCCTTTTCGTGCAAAATAATGATGACTGCACGTGTTTCCTTGTCGGTAACCATGGTTAACAGAAGAAGAACAATGATTTCAAGCACCACCCTCCTTTTAAAGCATCCAGTCTGCTATTCTCAGTCAGCATAACAAAGTGATCTCTAGCCTTATCCTCGTCAACACACTCCCCTGTGTTAACGAGAGACTCACTGAAATGTCAGTAGGCCCTTTTGTGGCAGGGCTGAAATGCAGTGGAAATGGGTTTTCTGGGATTAAGTTCATTTTCATGGCAAAGAGGGACTTTGCAATTAATTGCAATTCATCTGATCACTCTTCCTAACATTTAGGAGTATATGCAAATTGCCATCATAAAAACTGAGGCAGCAGACTTTGTGAAAATTACTATTGTGTCATTCACTAAACTTTTGGCCACGGCTGTATTAGCAAGAGGACTTTATCTGAACTATTGTGCAATTTTCTAATTTTCTTTCCAACTTCTGTAGCTACCCCTCTGACAGCATTCCGGTATTCATGGGGGGCGACAGCAATCTTGACACTGACCCCGACGATGTGGAGTTTCAGTATTCAGACCTGGTGCTAGGCATTGGTACCACCATGAAGTGTACCCCAGAGCCAGACGCCTTCAACCCCTGCGAGGACCTTCTAGGCTCTGCCTTTCTGCGTACGGCCACGTGGGCCATCACCGTGCTGGCGATCGCGGGGAACCTGACGGTGCTGGGGGTCCTTCTGGCCAGCCACCGCAAGCTCACCGTCTCCCGCTTCCTCATGTGCAACCTGGCCTTTGCAGACCTCTGCATGGGCATCTACCTCCTGCTCATCGCCACGGCTGACCACCAATCCCAGCGCGAGTACTACAATCACGCCACCCAATGGCAGACGGGGCCAGGCTGCGGCGTGGCCGGCTTTCTCACAGTATTCGCCAGCGAGCTGTCCGTCTACACGCTGACCACGATCACCTTAGAGCGTTGGCACACCATCAACTACGCCATGCAGCTGGAGCGGAGGCTGAGGCTACGGCATGTGGTGGCCACAATGGCGGGCGGCTGGGCCTTCTCTCTGCTGGCCGCGCTGCTCCCGCTGCTCGGCGTCAGCAGCTACACCAAGGTCAGCATCTGCCTGCCCATGGACATCGAGACGACGGCCGCCCAGGGCTACGTGGTTACGTTGCTGCTCCTCAACGTGGCCGCCTTCCTGGTGGTCTGCACCTGCTACAGTCGCATCTACCTGATGGTCCGGCAGCCGCAGCGCGCCGCCTGCCACGCCGACGCCAAGATCGCCAAGCGCATGGCCGTGCTGGTCTTCACCGACTTCCTCTGCATGGCTCCCATCTCCTTCTTCGCCATCTCCGCCGCCCTACGCGCTCCGCTCATCACTGTGTCGCACGCCAAAGTCCTCCTTGTGCTCTTCTACCCCCTCAACTCACTCTGCAACCCCTTCCTCTACACCATATTCACCAGGGCCTTCCGGCGGGACGTCCGGCTTCTGGCTGCTCGCTGGGGCCGCTGTCACACCTGGACTGATGGCTCCAGGACTCAGAGCCACTGTCCGCACAGGGGCCCCAAGGCGGCAGCCCCACAGAAACCTGGCTCTGCGCCATTCTACGTCGATCACATCAAGATGCATGGCTGGTTCCTCAAGCGAGGCCCCAAGTGACAGAAGGATATAGACTGAGACTGGCATTTCCATGGTGCTCACTTCCTTAATGTACATTCTGTCCAATATTTTTTTAATAAAAAAAGTACAAAAATACCACAATCCTCCCAAGCAAAGTATTATTGATGCAAGTTCACCCTTCAGCCTTCCCATCTACTGTATCTTCACTACTTTGGCAATTCTCTCTTTTTCCTCCCCCCCACTATTCCGTTCATGTCATGATCCTGATTGTTCCAAGATGGCGGGCAGCCAGAATTGTGTTCCCTTCACATAATGAGTTTGCGGCTCAGTGTTCCTTCGGTGATGGCCCGATTGGGACGTCGTGGTGGGCACCCTGGTGGACGAGGGGTGGGCGGCGGGCGGCTGCCTTTTGGCAATTACCACAGAACACAGGGAGCCCTTGACCCAGCCCCGTGCCACCGAGCCCCAGCCCTCAAAGACAGTGAGAATTGAAACTGGAGAGTCAGGCGTGTAGATTCACACTGTCGTCACGGAGCGTCAATTGGCACTCCATGTAGGGCAGACATGCGCTCTGGGCGACACCCCCCATCCTGGCAGGCTGAGTGCACTCTCCACTTGGATTGGATTTCTGGCATTCGACTCAAACCCCATCCCCACCCCACAGGTGCTAACAGCAGAATTAGCCTCCCACAGTGTACCATTAACAGGTAAAGGGAATGGATCCTGTCTGTACAAGCAGGATCTCACAGTCACAAGAGACACAGAAACACAGTATAGGAGCACATGTACATACGTGAACAGCCATTTCCAAAGATACAATGGCGATGATAAAGGTGCAATATTTACCAGGCAAAAGCTTTGTCAGGCATCAGGAAAAAGATCCCCATTTTCAAACATTTCAGAGCTTAATTTAGAACAAAACAGTAGGAAGCAAGCTGTGTTTGTCAATGTTATTTTTTGCACAAAAACCATTGAAACAGGCACTTGAAAATGCTGACAGCCGATCCTGAAACAATCCTATACAGTGCAGTTTCAGATCTAAGCCACTCTGTCAGCCATCACCGCACACATTTTGTGCAAGAGCTCAAAATGATCACAAACAGAAATCTGGCAGCCTAATGCCAAAGAATTTACCTACATTTTCAAACTTTACAGAGAACAGAAATTTCACTGCAAAACCTAATTATACAAAAGCTGATGGTCCTTTTCTTAGTTTACCACCTTTAATGGTATAATTCCTACACATTTCACTCTCTAACCATTAAATATTTTCACATGGCATCTGAGGCATTGCTCCTCTCTTCAAATGCAGCTCAGCCGTCACTTTTTCCCTCCGTCTTCACCACTCAGCCTCTCCTACCGCTTTGGAGAAAACGTAGTCTTTTCCCCCAAAACACATCACCCCATCCTTCAGGTAGAACTTCCACCTGTTCTTGCTGCGATGGATCTGAAAAAGAGCCATGTGAGGTTTTCATGAGGTTTCCATGGAGACCTTCACACACAGAGCCTGGGCTGCACATGCTCACAAGCGTCTTCCAGGTAATTTCATCGGTGTATGCATGTCTGCTCCTCTGGTGACCATACAGAAAACCATCTACACACATAAGAATTAGCTTCCAGATCTCTGGGGTAATATACATCTTTTAGTAATTTGAAGTGTAACTGAGAATGGAAGCTGATCATCACTCCTTGCCACTTACTAAATCAGCTAAAAACACCCTTGTGCAACACATGACATGCATGCAGTGGCCTGGGACCTACTGGTTTGCACAGCCAACAGGGCAGAGAGTACGCCGAGTGGATGGACAGAGGAGGCATTGTGCCCGCAGACTGGCAGGCCTGCTCGGGTGGGGTTAGAGCTGGGTGGTATGACCGAGTGGATGGACAGAGGAGCCCACAGACTGGCAGGCCTGCTCGGGTGGGGTTAGAGTTGGGTGGTATGACCGAGTGGATGGACAGAGGAGGCCACAGACTGGCAGGTACTTCAGCCATCCATGTACGTTTCAAGTGAATGCCTTGGGGTTCAGATGCCTCCCCGTGTCATTGAGGGGTTTCCCCTAAGTTCTCTGGTTTCCCTTCAGAGAGCAAAACATGCTGAGGTTGGCATGAATGGTGTGTGCGCCCTGCAATGGCCTAGTGCCCCATCCTGGTTTATTTACACACATTCGCCTGGTTTTAAATCCGGAGCCAAGGCAATAAGTATGAATTAATGAGACTGTGATGTCCATCTTAACTGCAGTCATTCTGTCTGCATATAGACGTGACAACTCACTTCAATTAATTTGCACAAGGGTGTAAATGATATAAAGTGATGCTTCTGAAACCCTTCCGTAGGGATTGCCAGTCTTCAAACATACCCTAACAAGAGCATGAGATCCAAAGTAATTCACTGCTCATCACACCCTTGCATATTTGCACCAGGCGTGCCAGCAGAGGACCATCTGAATCTTACAATGCAAAACATCACACTCGCAAACGGCGCCCCCTACCTTGTCATACTGACACACAACAACATTGTCAGTGTCAAAGAGATCCGGGACATCCTGCTCGCTCACGTCGTCGCCCGAGTTAAGGGGGTCCTGCGTGAATGACAGCATCATGAGAATAACAAACATGTCTCCCCCAACGAGGACACAAACCCCACTGTACAGGAAGAAACCCAGGAAACAGGGAAGTCAACTCAACGCAACACAGCATCAAGGCTCACTAATAAACTTTAAAGATTATTAAAAATGTTAACAGTCAAAACACATTCCTCATGGAATAGAAATTTGGGTCTTAAACAGAATTAAAATGAATTTTTAAAAACTCCTTTCAAGAGACACTGAAGGAGAGGTCACTATCCAAGTAAGGACAACCTTCTGACAGAAGTAGGAGTTAATCTTCCGTAAATAAACTGGCAGTGACCCACAGGAAAGATAGAATATTGGTGGTCGGTTCACTATTTACGAAGTGAAATTTTCAGTTAACCCTCAAAGGAAGAGGACCACACCTACACCAGGCCCGTCTGGCTCCCATAATCCTCTGAGGGCCCTGCCTGATAACGGCCAGCTTCGCGAGACCATCAAAGCACTTCAAAGGCACTCAAGATGGCCTTCAAACTTCAAACGGCTTGCTAGAATGTTTCATAAAGTCACGGTAGTGCGTTTGTGCTGGTATACAGGTTTAACGTCGTTAGGACAACAGACACAAAACGTCTATGTGAGAGCGGGAGAGAGGACTTTGGGTACTTTGAAAACGATACAGCAGTCCCATCTTCAGCAGCATCACGGCAGACATGCCATCACGAGTCTCAGGCTCGCCGCCCTGCTGTTCCACGCCAGTACAGACAGTGTCTTTCATCACGTCATTCCTAAATACCGTCACGTACATTTTATGGATGCCTTGCATGGGACAAAGGCTGAAAATGAAGGATATGACCTGCTTCTAACTGCTGGGATACAGAAGTGGGGCTGTGGGAAATCACTGATCATCTGGGGGGGTCATGGAGTCATGGAGATCTTTCACGCCCACGCCCCCCCCCCAAGGCGCTCACCTCCTCCACTTCCTCCACAGCATCGTCCAAGGCGTCGCTGTCGCTGCTGGAGCCGTCGTCCTCGCTGCTGCCCTCGGCCTCTTGCAGGGCCTTGAGCGCCTCTGCGTTGATCATGCCCAGAAACTCATCTTCGTCGGCCCCTGCCCCCCCCTCCACCTCCTCCTCCTCAGCCTCCTCCTCCGAGGTGCTGTCACAAGCCCCGTCCAGTTGCTGCAGGGCCTCCAGGTCGTTGTAGTTGAAGTCCCTCATTAAGTCCATCTCCAGCTAATAGGGGAAAATGGAAAAATATCCTCTTAAAGTTAATATTCTGTACATGCTTCAGACAGACAAGTACAAAAGGTTTATGGAGCCACATAGGGGGACTTCAGAATCGGTACTTATGAACGCATACATTATGAATGTGCTTCAACAACCTTCACAAGGACAGGCGGAAGGTGAGGTCCTTCTCAGATGAAAAGGCAGGGCAACAGCCGATCTTACCAGCCGGTTCTAACTAGGACAAACTGTGTACATCACTCACCAGAAAATCATACTGGTACCAGTACAGGTATTAACAACCTAACTTAGCTAGCAATGTCACATTCAGGGTAGTTGATGGAGAATGTGTGTGTGTGTTGGGGGGGGGGGGGAATGGAGTTACCTTGGCAGGCTCCACAAGCTGAGCTTTTGCCTCCCCAGCATTTACAGGCAAGGAGCCCCCCCCATCCTGGCCCACTTCCTCCCGTCCAGCTCCCAGCTGCCCCCCGCATGCCTGCCCCGAGGACAGCTGGGCAGCGAAGGGTGACGGCTGGCTCATGTCGAGAGGCTGGGGGCTGAACTCGATTCCATCCAGCGTGAACTCATCGTCCCCAGGGCTGTCTGGAGTGACCGGGGCAGGGGTAGGCAACGGTGGGGGCTGGGGCACAGCAGGCAGAGTCAGCTGGGGCTGCAGGGCACCCGGAGGCTGCAGGGCACCACCCTGGCCAAGGAAGAGGTGCTGTTGGTGTGGGACAGGCTGTGGCTCGGACGGGTGGAGGAGGGTCGTGCTGGGGGCAGCAGGGGTATAAGTGTCAGCTGCCGGGGGAGGGATCGTCTGCAGGACAGCGGAGGGGGCGACACTGGCCACGGCACCCTGGGGAGCCACCTGCTCTCTCGGCTCCATGACGTGTTGGATCGGCTGCGGGAGGATACGGTTGCTGGCTGGGGCCTGAGTCACCATCACCGGAACGTTGACCTTGTACAGGTGGCCTGGCATCAGACAGTCAGTCTGTCATGTTGGTGGGGGTTTCATGCAACATAAACTCTTCTCCAACAGGTTTTTCCAAATATTTCTCCCAAATGTTAAATCGGTGCGTGATTTACAATGCACAACAGCGCCCCCTACTGTGGGGTTTGAAGCCAGATTTTCATCATCATTATCAAAAGCCAAATCAACCAATGCTAATCCATTACACAATCACAGGAAAACTAGAGCCTCCCAGGCAGCAAGGCCTGTTAATCAAAAACATGAAGCCAAGTATTTTTTCCTGAATATAAACCACTGGGGGTTTAATTCTATAACAAATCATGTGGAATCTTGACGGTACGTTGATTTTCAGTCTTTCCTGCATGCAGATGCCTGAATCTCACTCGGAGATCAGTGGTGTCTTTCGTTCTCTAAAGAGCTCATAATCAATTACACAAGACTCTCCGAAACCATGCGATGTATTGGAAGATTTAAAATTGTTTTTTTTTTCCCCAGATCGCTTAGCCAGGGCAAGCTGTAGATCTTTAAAGTAAAGCTTGTCGGATTTAGAGCACAGTGCAATCATGGCAAATAACAGAATATAATGGCAAGATTCTAGTATGATCTGGTCTAAAATAATCACAGAGTAGGATTAAGCTGATTGCAAGAGACAGTGTAAAAACAGAAGGAAGAAAATGTTTTAAAATGCAGTTTTGAGCAGATTCTATTTAGTTGCTGATTGTTTCAGAAGTCTTTTAATTACCATCCACTGGTGCTGAAGTGTGGTGCTCCGGGGGAAGGGAGAAAAAGCATAATCACAAGGGTCTGACGATTACTGGCAATTTGAGACAAATTGAGTGGCCAGACCTTCACCCCAAAGTAGCATCCAGAGAGAGGGTGTGAAATGATGAGCTTGATGCACACTGCCTGCTCTCAAGGTAATATCGTGATGGGAAAGCGACAGGCACCAACCCGCCACTCGTCTCGGGGCGAGATATCTGTCTGCATCTCTCCGCACGTCGCCTTACCTGACGAGGTCTGCAGAGTGACTCCAGCTGGGATCTGGACGGGGTAGCTCACTCCAGGAGGGAGAGAAAATGTCGCGAGTGCACCAGAGCCGTTCTGACAGAGTGAGAAGAATGGGTACTTTAGAAGCACAGTTTACCGCCTCCTGCTGGCCTATTCTGTGCTAGCGCAGTTAGGTCACACTGTACTGAACAGATGGGAAAATACACAAGGATTCGATTATTTCAAATATTACCAGGAAAAAAAAAAAACTCACCCCTGTAACTAAAGTCATGATGACATGGAACCTCAAGTTATTACCTCAAGCATATTACTGGTAAAGAGTGGATTTATGCTTGTAAGGTAATGTGAGAAGACGACTAAGAGGACGGAGAACATTATGACCAAGCCGCATGTGAAAAAAGAAAATTAAAATCTAGTGTTTACGTCTTATAGAGCAAAAGGAATATAGTCGACAGTTTGTGACTTATCACCCCTTCAAAGTTATAAGTATTACCCTGAAAAATTAAACTAACAATTTTGGGAAGCCAAACCCTTGGCACCATTCTAAAAATTATTTTCTTTGTTCCCATCCATGTTAAAATTGCTCTCTGCCTCAGGCAATGAACACGTGTCACAATGACCTGGCGTGTCCCCCACCAAAACAGACCCTGGCAGACGATTTCAGACACTAAGCCAGTGATGATTCTCCGCCTCCTCGCTTTGCATCAGACATACGCATTTTGTAATAAAATAAAAATAGACATTTACATGGCCTAAAAATAAACACACACCCAAATAAGTGTTATAACCATACTACATATAACAAAGGGATTTTATCATTTTTCATTATCTCAGGCATCTTTGCCATATTTTATATTATATTATATAAATAAACACACACACACACACACACGAGAACAATAAGGCATCTAATACAACTAATTGGAACGTTCTGGAACATGTTCTGGGAATTTTTCATATATCTAAGCATAACTACACTGCATGTACATTTGCTTACAGTGTAATCATCAAGGAGCCGGCATAGGGAAATAGCTTCAATAAAGCCGTGTAGAAAGCTCTGAGGTCGTCTACATCCCATCCTTCTCCATTTTTGACACAGCGTGGCCAGGGAGCAAAGTGCGTGTTCCGAGACGCTCCCTGGCAATAAGGCTAACAACTGGAATTTCAAATAAGTTACACCCTTCAGTGTCAGAGGTATATGCTCAGTCTCCAAGGAGGCGCAAGCTGGTAATGTGCCACATGCTGCAACGGACAAGTCCAAAAGCCACACTTCACCTTCCGCTTTCCTAGCCTGTCTGACTCGTCCCGAGAATTACTTACTGCTTTGGTGGTGAAATTCTGAAGAGTCTGCCCAGCAGGAATGACGATTGAGGCTAGAGAAGAGAGACAGGACAACATCAACTGTGTCTTTGCAGGGATTTATAATAATTAATCAAATCTACCGAATACCAAGGCTAAGATTATGCTGGGAATTTCCTGTAATAGATAAGTCTTATGAAGGACATGTTGAGACTACAATTAATACAGGGATGTAGTAAATTATCTGGAGATGACTTTAGACACGTGGCTGACCTGTGGGTTTATGGAGGGTCTGAGCATAATTTGCAGGAAGCTGTAGCACAAAGTTGTTTGGGTTGATGGGACCTTTCATAAAACCTTCCACTGCTTTTGACTGCATGACCTTAGACTCCCAGAGCTACACAAAAGAAACACATCACAGCCTGGAATAGCCGATCTGCTGGTCTCTCAGCTCCACCTGTTTTTTTCCAGACATCTGACAAGTTTTATTATACTACTGTAAACTGTATAAGAACGGGTGGCACAAATAAAAATACATCATCATATGCTGTCAGTCAGCCACCAACTTAAGCCACATCTCATTGGTTGCTGCGTGGGTTCTCAGGCGGTGATTGACAGAGCATAATCCGGCCTCCCTCCCTTCATTTCTAACTCCGTCGTTGCATACATATTGAATGACCCTATAATTGAATTCAACTAGGCCAGTGTTACCCAATCCGATCCCACAGCAGTTCACGTTCTTGCTCCCTCCCGGTAGGCACAGAGGGGTCTCACCTGCCTGAGGTCCTCAAGCACCCGATCCTCGATCCCTTCGTCCTGAAACAGCTCCCTGACGCTCTCTATCACATCGTCAATGACTGACATGTATAGTTTGGACTGGAAGAGGGCGCGTTGCAAAAATACGGGGAGGGGGGGAACAACGCCGTGTTTTATTGTGGTTCATAACACTATACAATCACGCTGTCCCAACACGTTTCCATGCGCGTTACTTAGGCGCTCTTATTACATAAAGATGTACGCACCGATGCGCGTATCACAAATGTAAGCTGATAAATTGTGACTCACTGGTACATTGATATTACCGTGCAAAAAGCGAAATTCATCGGACCATAAGCTCAACATAATTAATAACCAAAATAATTCAATAAACTGGCAGCTTTTAAAATGTTTTACGGACTGTGTCTAAGCTTCCTAGGAACTCTTTACGGTGAATACACGAGTTAGCTAGAGAACTTGCTAATTGGCAAGCGGGAACCGAACAGATTGATAATAATAACTGTGTAGGTTTTTGATCGAAGAAATACTCATTTGTGTTTTGTAACCTAACAGTTGGTGATAAATATCGGCTACCATACTTCACCGGGTTGTTAGTAAGGCGGGTCACAAATGTCACCAGATTTAGCCGCTTTATGTAGGTACTTACAACTGTGTTGGAGTTTGACAGCATTGTAATTACTACGACCCGTCACTATTTCTTTTAAACCTTACATCTCTCACGAAATCAGTTATTTTACATGTTGTCTACTCTCGCCCCGTCTCAGAGTAAAATGCCTCTAAGACACAAAGTGACTTAATGGGCTTAATTTATATGACGAGCGGCAGCTTTGTCTGTTTTCAGGATAATCAGAGTATATGTCTAAATGACGAGGCTTAGTTTATTGTATTGTTCCTTTAACCTGACGTTTCGGAATAATTTAAATGCCATTGCGACGTATGATGGTGTTATTTTTGGATCTAGTGTGAAATATTGTCATCCATTAATTCATTGTATCGTTTCATTCATATAAAGCAGCTACATGTTGTGTCTTCTCGGCTTTGTATGTCAGTAACTCTGATACGTTTCATAGTAAATCGGTATTTTGTTTTATTGCAGTATTGCGGCTACAGAACAAAACAAAACCCCGCTTAGGTCGTGCTCTTTCGCTGCGTTGTACCACGGCTCTCTCTATCCCACATTAACGGCGGAGCTGGTTATTTGTCGTGCATGCCAAAGTTATTAATGCACCCGTGACTCGGTGAATGCAGAGCAGATGTTAAAGAACATGCGCCTTCGTCGTGCCCTTGTAAGAGCTTTGTAACTATGCGTTGTGTACAAAGATCAGGACGAGAGCCCCGTCGCAGTTACTATTACAAGTCAAATTAGGTTCACTCATCTACAACAGTTAGATGACTGAATCTAAGGCATCAAGCACGTACGATTGACTTTTTAACTTGAGGGAACTGCACCCACAACTGCTTTTAAATTGTTACATATTTCCAGTCCTTCTTTCTGCTTCACTATCTACTGATGCCGCTCATAGATACTCTCTTTATACATTCCTAAATCATTTATGTATATCTTTTTTTCACTTGAGTTTTGAAACGAACTCAAGAAACAGCAGTATTCTCACCAAAGACTTAAATCCACATAGCCCGAATCCAGTGCTCTGGCCACTACACTACATACTCTAAATTTGCAATCTGGACATTAAGCTTAACTAGTACCAATACAATATGAGTGCAATTTATTGCAGTTTTGGAGGAAGCCTGGTTGTGTGCAGTATTCCTGGGAAGAAACAAAATGCTGATGTTAGTATATCTATCATTTTGCTAAAAAGGGGACATTTTCTCTGCCCTACAAAAGGGCAGCACCTCTGTTTTTGCCGCCAGCAAGCAGGAGAAAGTGCAGTATGGTTATTTGAATGTCATGTGCTCTTGATTCCCAGTTTTACTAGATCACACAACTCAAGAGAAATATTCTGTCACTGTAGTTTAGCTAAACTGTTATAAAAACAACAAAAATGGATATATTGGAATGTAAATGTGACACGAATTAAATAGCACACAATATACTGAAAGTACACAAGTTCAGAAATTCATACGGGCTCTTCCAAATACATTCTCTTCTGACAAATTCTTCTTTTTTCGTCTTTGTTTGGTGAAAAGAATATTCAGCAAGGTGTCCAGGGTGCATTTCTTAAGGAGGGGAAAGTGTTCTTTTATTTTTCGGGACGTTGAGGAAGATCACTGTGTTGTGCAGTCAGATTGCCTCTGAGATTCTGTCTCTATCCACTTCTTTTCAATCTCCACCTGAAAGGCAGACAAGAGAATTTAGAAACTCACAGTTGCGTAGCTGTCAGAGGGTCCTTCTGAGCCCGAGCGTTCGGTTGTGTACTCGTTTACAGATGACAAGGTATAGCTGGAAAAACTGTGCTATGTCACTCGATCTAGGTGTGCAGCATAACAATGTAATTTAGAACAAGAGTGGGTGTAGCTGATCTTTCAGTTCTATTGCTCTCCTATTTTATTTGCCCAGTTATGGTTTTTGAATGTGTAGCTGCATGTAGATGTCATGCATGAAACCCCGCTTTTACCTGACAGTGGTAATACGCCTTTGTCCCTATGTGCTTCTGGGGCTGAATGTCACTCTCCGTGCCAAGCGACTTCACCCTTGTGTGGGACACCACGGTGTCAGCCAGCTCGAACTCCACGGTGACGAACGGATACCAGTCATTTGGGATCTCCTGATCCGAACCCAGCTCGAGCTTGCAGGAGAAGGAGTGTGGCTGGTCCATTGCTGGGGTGTGTAGAACATACAGTTACATCCTAAACAATCCAAATTCAGTTACAACAACAAACCCTACAGTTGACTTTCTGCTCGGCGAGGGGGGGGAGGGGGCAAAAGAACACTGTTGACACAGTGATGACACTTACGACGGGCATACTGACAAGATGTATGTAAAGTTCAGTCTCTTCCGCATGTGATATTAATTCTAGGACTTTGTAACTGAACAAGTGAATAAGCAGCAGGGAAAGTACTGATTCAGTATAAAAGTTCATAACCTAAGTCTTCCTGGTCCAAATCCCAGGAGGACCTTGGTAGTATCTTTAAGAGACGTAGCCTGTAAGAACCTTAAGAGAGGTAATTACTTGATTAATACATTCAGGTACAAAAAAGTTGAGATTGAAATTAGCTGTGAATAAAATCATTAGCAAAGTAGTTTAATGTGGTTAAAGTGGAGAAGGGAGAGTTTTAAAAGGAAGGTTTTGTCCTGGAACTATGTGCCAGCCTTCCAGTCTGGGCTATAATATTCGTCGATTCTGGGTGTGGCAGTTGAGGAGCATCTCACATGCAGGTAGAAAGTGGACAGGTATTTGCTGTGGTTACTGAGATGCACTTACCGGTGTTCTTTGCGGGTAGCCTGTCGATCCTCCACACGATGGCACGGTACACGTTCTCGTACTTGACGGTGCCCACGGACACCTGCATGACAGGCTGGGTGTCTGTGGCATTGATGGATCCCAGGCAAGCGTTGCGGTTCATTCGGGCCTTCAGGTACTTCTGCCTCAGTAGGGCAACCGTGCGCGACACCTTCACCCAATCTTCCGGCACCGGGACCCGGAGAAGAACATTCTCGCAAGGCAGCGACAAATCAAGGTTGCTCCCGGATGAGGAGATGAAGGAGGGCGTCATGGTGAGGAAGGCCTGGAGCTCCACGTAGGCGCCTTGCACAGTGACCACGGCCTTGACAGAGAAGGGCGGCTCTCCAGAACCAATAGACACAGTCTTATATCGCATCACCTCCACGCTGCAGGCATCCGGTGGTGAGAACTTCACCAGCCGGGACTTCTGGAACTCAGCTTTGTTGACACAGGCATGGAAGTAGCAGTCTGTGATCTCCATCCATGAGCCTTCCTCCTCACCCTCCGAGCCGTACTCAGGGTTCCTGTGAAGCAGTTGTTGGTCATTTAGCGCCATGAAACATTCTCCAGCCCCATTCAGGAAGGCGAGGCAGTAGATGTGGCTGATGGCCGTCCGCTCCAGCAGATTCCCGTCCTTGTCCAGCCTCACCCAGAGGTGGTCGACGATCCTCAGCGACATCTCCTGCTCCTCGTAGTGCCGACGCGTCTGGGCAACCGCGGGCAACTTCATCAGCTCCTCCTCCACAGACGCCACCAGGTCCTCCATGTCCCTGTGCTCGGTGGTGCCGAACTTCAGCAGCTGCTCTGCCTCTGCCTCATGCGTCACTTCCGGCCTGGGGTGGTAGCGCCGGCGCTCAGTGTAGCACACGTGTTCCAGCTTCACCGTGTAGATCTTACGTGGCTCGTGGTAGCCCTCCAGCTTGGGGAGGGATAGCTGGCAGTGGGAATGCAGCTGGAGCTCCTTGAAGGGCTTCTCCAGACCTTTCTCATAGTACATCTGCAACACCCCCCCTGGCAGCAGCCGGAGGTAGATGGGCCCCCACTGCCGGGAGGACATGCGGTTTTTCCGCTCAGGGATGCGGAGCATCATGGGCCAGCCATGTCTCTGCTGGCTGCGGCACAGTCCCTGCGGTACAAAGCTGGGATTTCCCTCTACCTCCTCGGCTCTTAGTCTTTCCATACGTTCTCCCTCATCTCCCTCTCTGCCTCCTTCCTTACCATCCTCACCCTCGGCACGTAACCGCTCGAGCTTTTGGCAGATGTAGGAGTAGGAGTTCTGTATCTGGTCCGGCGGCGGCCCGTAACCATCCTTGGTCCTGATAAAGAAGCGAGGCAGGCTGGACCCCGAGTCTGAGTCTGAGGAGGAGCCCCCAGACTCGGCATTCCCCTCACTCCAGAATGGGCTGAAGTGGTCCCGGTCATCCCGGGATGCCGGAAATGGGTTCCACCCCTCGGACGAGTTCCCTGTGGACTGAGGCGTGTGCTGCTCTGGGACTGGCGAGGGCAGAGTGGCTGTGGACGCATTGGAGAAGCTTTGGGCAGCACTCTGATCTCCGGGGGGGGCACATTGGAAGAAGGAAAAGCTGGTGGGCATCTCCCTTACGGGCGTGCACAAGGGGGTGTTGCTGGGCACGCAGGAGCCGCCGTCGTAGCTAAAGTGCATTTGTGGTGAGTCCAGTGGACTGGAAGAACCCCAGGAGGAGCCGCTCAGAGAAGGCAGAATCAGTCTGAGCCCATTGGGCCTGGGAACTGACCCCAAGCTGGCAGTCGGAGACTGAAGGGGCTTCTGGGAAGGAGAGCGTGCAGCCTCCTCATCCTCAAAGGTCACCCAGTTTGGATGGTTGGTGGAACACATGGTTGTGGGATGCCAGCACCAAACACACAGGACAGGGGCCCGGCTGCATGCGCCACACAGGACAGCACTGCTGTTGGTATGCGAAAAAAAAAAAGAGATCTCAGTGAATTTGTACATTTTTATTGGAATTATGGATTTATTCATAGCCTAGGAAAGATAACTTACAGAAACAATGGGTAAATATCAGGTTAATAGTATTACATTTGAAAATGCAACATCTACAACTGAACGGAAAATTCTATAGGACTGACCTCAATGATACTTGATACTCAGCACATTACACACAGTGCTTTAGGGTCCCTTTTTCCTGATTCATGATTTCCTATCGCCATCTAGTGGTAAGTACTGGAACTGCAAATTCCACAATACCAACGCTTACATTTTCCCTTATTTACAAAAACACACTGTTTAAAATGCTAAATTAAATCATTTTGTGAAAATAAGTAATATAGACAAGGACTTTGGCCTGTTGACATTGAGCACACATACACAGGTTTAGTGATGCAGGCCAACAACAGCCTCTAAGATAACAGTGTTTATGGAACTGTTAAATTAGCCAACTGTGTTAAATTTCATAAAGGACTGTCTTGTCAAACACACAGAGGGGAAGAAAACCTGAGTGCAGCAGTTTAAATATCAGTCACTGTACACAGTGATAATTAACACTTTCCAGTGGATTTTCATTTCATTGCTGGAATGCAGACAATGTGTGAGATCAGATCAATAGCAGCATCTCTGTGCTGTCTAATCACATTATGTGCTGGAATAGGCAGCTTCACCCAGACCAGCTTCACACAGCCTGCTCAGTTTTCCACTCTCCCTAACAGTCACACCCGCTGACCTTGGGTACCATCCTAAAATCACTGAGGTAAAGCGAACGGCAGCACAACCTGCCCCAGGGATCCCATCAGCTACCGTAATAGTTTGGAGAGGATTAGGGATGCAAGCATAACCCTGGACCGAAAGATGACAGCAAGGGGTGACTTGGGTTGGGGCAGAGAAGACGATGCGGAGAGGGGAACAAATTCAGACCCAGGTTTGGTTCTTGATCCCTTGTAAATATAGAGACGTCGATCTGTCTGCTTCCCACGTTCCCCCAGGGTAGGGCTGCTTGATTATGGCAAAAATCATAATCACAATTTTTGTTTTTTTTTTAATTGAATTGACGATTATTTAACATGTATCAAATTGGAGTGCATGTGTAAGTGAATGGTGTGTGAGTGAATGGTGTGTGAGTGGTGTGTGAGTGAGTGAATGGTGTGTGAGTG